GCCACGGCTACCCGCAAGAAGGGAGCCGGCGGCGGCGCGGGTGGAACCCTAGGGAGGGGGAGCCGCGCGGATGTATTCATTCAGAGAACTGAAGTTGTAAAAACTGAATCAGTTGCATGCCTAAAGGGCAATGCTATTGGTATGTAAAGTTTTTAGTTTAATCTAATAATGGTTAGCTAAAATTATGGGGTAGTTACAATCCAAAATAAACTAGTATGTAGAGTTTCTATAAGACCTTTAAGTAATAATAGGATTTCCGATGCCTAAATATAGGAAAGTCAACACTTGGGTAAGTTGATAAGTGTAACTACAATGGTCGAAATCCATTTTTTCTCGCAATTCAACCATATCTTTTCACCATGTTGGTATAATATCGCAGGCTTTAAAAAAAGTTCGTAACAGTTGAAAACATTTCTTGGATATGAAAAAAAGTTCACGGATTATAAAACAAATATCACAAATTTGAGAAAATGTTCACGAATTTAAAATGTTCACAATTTAAAAATAGTTCATGATTTGTTTTAAAAATAGAATGGAAAAAAGAAAATGAAAGAGAAAAAAAAAAGAAAACAGAAGAGAAATCACAGTTTATTCCTTGATGTTAAGTTTAAATCTCCCTGGTATTGAAGCAGACAAAATCATCACTGTTTTAAAAAAGAATGTGGACAAGTTAAAGGCCAGTGTCTCCACTATGCACCAATGTGAGTCTATCAGCTTCTGCTAAACATGACCATATGGAGTTGACAAACGTGATGCTTTTTCCCAACATTCACTTAACATGGAAAAGCATATAGGAATGTAAAAGCCGTGTCTTGTGATCATGGCCACTGCTGCATTGGTCATAACAAACAACAGATCTCAAACAGCAACATTTCACTGCTAATTAAAACAGCTCAAACAGATCACAAACTAATTGCTCACTGCATCTTCAGTTTCTTGTTCGCCTTCACCGGCTAGCCAAACCTTCCTCGTCCAGCGACACCAAAAACCACTTTCCATCGCCTGATCACACGGGCGGGATAACACCTGCACAACAACGCATACGTGAGAAACAGGGGTCTCGGTGGCGATGGTCGCTTCCCATGGCGACAGCGACGGACTTTGTGGAGCATTACAGACAGTGGTACAGAAGCAGAGCACTGACCGGCTACAGAGGTACTCCCTCCGTTCCGAATTACTTGTCTCAAAAATGGATGTATCTAGAACTAAAATATGTCTAGATACATCCATTTTTTCGACAAGTAATTCAGAACGGAGGGAGTAACAAACACTAAAAATATAGAACAAAAGAAATCTGTAGATGAAGAGTTGATGGTTTGCATGCAGGAACACAACTGAGATCAGCAGCTCATCCCATCTCAGCTGTCAAAATTACTGCAGCAGGTCAATTGTATCTGAACAAGTTATCAATAAAAACCTGGGAATGACACTGAAACTAGATATATATACCTAGTTCACAAACATGAGTACGTATGCATCACAACCTGTAACAAACCTGGGAATGAAGCTAGCTACCAGCAGAGCAGGAGGTGCTTGTTTGAGCCTAATTCCTAAGTAACATGAATCTCGGGTGAAGGGCATTACCAATAATAATGCTAGTCTATAAAAGCAGAGAAGTGCCTGATTGACTACAGGAGGCACTAAGAGACACAGACACTAAGAGAAAGTAAATCCTTGAGAAGAAGAGCATGCAAACCATCAAACGGAGCTGCACCAAAAGTAATCAAGGGAAAGGACACAAAATCTTACATAATACTCCCTCCGTCCAGAAATAGCGGTCACTCAAACGGATGTATCTGAACATCCATCCATTGCATCTTCATTGAAGTGCATACTGAGCGGCTCATCCATCCAAGTCCTCCTTCGTCGTAAGCAGCCACCAGGTTATTCAGATATCTACAACACTATACTGGCTACAGAGAACACTGGAAAGAGGAATGGGAAGCCTAAAATGCTGCTGGCATAGATATCTGCAACACTATACCAAAGGACCAGCAGCAAACTAAATCCAGAGCAGATCATCTAGGCCGGCCTGGGATGTGAGTCAGCGATCCAGCTCGACTCTGACGCCGAGCAATCACCCTACACCGCAGTCCGCAGGCACCACAATTCTCGATCTAGAGCAACCGTAGCACGGTTCAGTTGCAGAAGCAGTCCAAGCCATTCATTCCGGTAGCTAGCATAGGAGAGCAGCCATCAGGGAGGCTAGTAGTCCAGTATATATTTCTTGGTTAAAAGAAAATAAAATGTAACAACTGAACTCGTACTTACGAATTAATTCCACCAAAGCAGAGACCGAAGGGAGCCAACTTGATCTGTACAAGTATTGAACAAAAAAGAATCACATTACGAATAGCACGTGTTCTGAACACGTTAAAAAGGTCAACAGTAGTAAGTCTTCTAAACTAAATAAGCGATGCTGAAACTGAAACTGAAATTCATTCCTCCACAGGCAAACATACAGTTTTGCAGCAGAGCAGGGCAATTAAACTGTCGATCTTGATAAGTTTCTCAACTGCACATACAGGGCCATCGCATTCAACAAGTGCTGGCCTGACTGATACCTGCTGCTGCCGCTTAACCATCTTACATGCGAGGAAACTGCTGCATGATCCAGAGATGATGACATCCATCCTGCAACTTAAGTTTTATATGTCTATAAAACTCGCGTCAAGCAAGCAGGGCCAGAAAGTTCAAACACCACCTGAGCCTTTCCCAGCTTGTACTTGATCTGGAAATGGTCTGAAACTAGATATATATAGCTCACATTACAAGTACCCCAGCTTCTACTAAACCTACCAAGTATCTGAACCTTGAACAAGATAAAGGTCAGAGTTTAACAGAGCAGATAACAATCATGACATAAATTGGTACAATTTCTGGAGCAAAAAATATAAAATAAACTACCATGCCCTTTGTACTTTGTTTCTTCCCTGTGTTTCCTCGCTTGACTGGACAACAGCAAACCAGATCAAGATGAGATGGTCTCGGCATAGGATGTTGATTCAGAGATGCTCCACTCGACGCCAAGCAGCAGCAGCAGCCGCCCTACACCGCAGACCCCGGCAGTTCTCGACCGAGAGCGGGCTGCGGCATGACGGTTCAGTTGTAGAAGCAATCACAGACCATTCCCCTAGCAGAGCAGAGCAAGAATCAGGGGTCAGGCCTGTCATTGAATAGAAGCTGAATGACCTTCAGCTCCGGCAGGCCTGCCTCCACTCACGGACTAGCCTTGGTATTTCCTTCCATGTCTTCGGTTTCAATGGTTTGAATTCCGTTACTGCACACATCACAAGCGATGTCAGAAAAAAAACTTGTACAAACTAATGTGTTATATCATAATGTATAGCATGATGGCAATTGGAGAAGAAACTTTTGCAAACGTGTTGACCATTATGTACAAGGGATGGAATGGATGACTGCATCTGTTTGTTAAATGTGGCAAAGATAGAAGGACGTGCAGCAAGCATACCTTTATAGCAGGCATCTAGAAATTTGTGGTCGATGGTGCCCAGTTGCTGCTGCAGGCATCTAGGGAGCTTCTTTATAGCAGGGCAGCCTGTGATCTCAAGAGACCAGAGAGACCTGTATACTTGCGGCTCATTCGGCAGGGATGCCAGGGTACTGCATCTTTCAAGATCAAGGATTTCCAGCGATGGGGGGTGCTCTCCCGACAGACACTCCAGCGATGTCAGCCCACTGTTGCCAATAATGCGCAGTTCCTTGAGGGGTGCAGGCAGACGGAGAGTCCCACCCAACATGCCAGCACATTCCCATATTCGTAGAGATTCGAGATGGGGAGGAAGTAAATGCTCTCTTGCAGCTGTTGCTGTTGCTGCTGGTGGCTGTGGCATGATAGGACTTCTGCTTCTGGAGGTAGTGGCTTCTGGTTTCTGGAGCCCACCCAGCTGGCATGATAGGACTTGAATACTACTGCAGCCATCAATTTCTAAGGTCTTTAAGGACAGAGGAAGATTTAGAACCGCTTGTAAGCTTCCACATTCAGTTAAACTTAGCTCTTCTTGGCATGGACAAAAGTGATTCATGGGTGAGGATGGCAACTCTGATACAGCTGCAGGCATGATTGCCTCACTGCTAGAAGACCCTTGGACTAACTCTGACATGCCCTGCTGCTTGCTGAATATGGACTCAAGCTTAATGCACCCACTAAACTTGGGCAGTTGAACATCTCTACTAAACTTGGGCAGTTTTCTAAGCAAAGAGACTCCAGAACTCTCAGGTGCTGACTCCTTTCGGATGCCAATGTCTCAAGAGGAGCTTGTGCATATCCAGTCAGATTTTCGCAGTTTCTAATCACTAATCTCCTCAAGGATACCAAGCTTTGGAACACATTCTCTGGCCAATGGACGAGCACATCACATCTATCAATTTCCAACTATTCAAGATGTACAAAGTAATCACATGGTTCTAATGCACCTGATCCAAAGAACAAGTTGCAGTACCTTAGCTTCATAACTTCAAGAGGGGATTTCGGGTTCCATTTCTCCTTGCTGTCCACCGGTACAATTGAAGTGAACTCAACCTCTGATGTTGTTTCTGTGTTTTCTAGCTTCAGTATCAGATTGGTCAATGAAGGCAAATATCTATCTACAAAATCTGAGATCTCTTGCTTTCCATCTTTAATTTCCAAGACACTGAGTTTTGGTGCTTCGGGTAAATCTATCATCTTGGGGCACTTCTGAGCTGATAGTTTCTCAAGTTGAGGAAACAATGTCCCTTCGACTGCATCCCATCTCTCAAACCTCTTTAAGCCTTCCATTTTTAGCACTTTTACGGCAGGAAACGCTGAGCGTACCAATCTATAACCACCTCCACTACATGGTTCTAGAAGCAATGGTGCTTCAGGTAACTCTGTCAGCTTTGGGCATTTCTCAATTGATAGTTCCTCCAGACAAGGAAACAGTATGTGTTCTCCTTGAGTCTCTAATACTGCAGCCCATCTCTGAAAGCTCTCCAACTCTTCCATTTTGAGTACCTTCAGGGCAGGAAACGCTGAGCGTACCAATGTATAACCACCTTCACCACAGGGTCCTTGCAGCAATGGTGCTTCAGGTAATGCTACCAACTTTCCACAATTACTAATAAACAACTTCTCAAGCACAGGAAATATTGTCTGTTCTTCTTGCCTCTCATCTATTTTCCACCATCTCTCAAAACCCAACAAATGTTCTAGCATAAGCACCTTCAGTTTTGGAAAAGTGATGATTGAATTGCACCTGAACAAAACTTGCAATCTTTCACAATGAAAAAGATGGATCTCAACCATGTTTTGCAACATACCCATGCACTCTCCGCCATAGGTATATATCTTCAGAACCTGCAGCCCACCATGAGGTTCGAACTTGTCGAGCACCTTGTTGTCGCCAACCTTAGTCCATCTTAATCTCAGTTCACTGAGATCCTTCTTGTTTCCAAGATTCGCCACTTTTGCCTCTGCTTCTTTAACGTTCTCTACCCGGTGTAGCTCTAGCTGACCACCAAGGTTTAAATGCTGCAGCTCTACAACATCACTGCAATCAGGGCCAGGAACTCCTGCTACAAAAACTGTGAGTGTCTGCAGCTTAGTGAGATTTTCAAGTCCTGGAGGCATGCTCTTCAACCCCGGACATCCATGAGTGTAGAGGTGGCAGAGGGAAGTCATATACTTCATTTGCATTGGAAGTCGATCAAGATAATAACAGTAGGAAAGGTCCAGCACTTGCAGGTTATATAAAATACTTATATCCTCAGGAAGTGCTTTCATACGACTTTCTGAGAGATCAAGGTACCTCAGGTGATGCAGATACTTTGGTTTGAGTAGAAATGATTCAGTTATCAGACATAGCTTCAAGGCATGCAAAGAGCTATATTTTGATAGATGCTTCAATGAGCTTCGAATAGGACTATCGCATATCAGTGTTTGAATGGCAGGGGACTTTTTCTCCAAAGAATCATTCAAAATACCTTGTGTTTCTTCACATGATAAGAACAAATGCCGAGCAGTATCTGACAGCCACTCGATTTGACTTGGTTCCTTAATTGCAACGACACATTCCTTTCCCATAACAGACATTGCAATATCATGCATAAGATCATGAATTTTACATGTTCTGGAATAATACCCGCTGGAGTCCTTACTTTCCTCTAGGTCCAGAAAGAATGACCTTGAGACCAGCTCATTGAAAATATCTTTTCCAAAGGTTTCAAGACTATCTTCCTCCTGTTTTGGGATAAAACCATTTGCGATCCATAGTTGGATAAGCTTCTCCACATTAATCTTGTAATCCTTCGGAAATATGGCACGGAAAGCAAAGCACTGCTTCATGTGTGCTGGCAAATCATTGTAGCTAAGCTTGAGAATTGGCAAAATTCCAGTTTCCTCGGCGCAAATATTGCTTCTAGATGATACAGCCTTCCATTCTTCCACGCTGCTCTTGGTACGAAGGACAGAGCCCAGTGCAGTTGCAGCTAAAGGAGAGCCACGGCATCTCTTGACAATCTCACCAACCATCTCGAGTAGCTCGGGAGGCTTTTCATTCTCTGAACTGAATGCTCTATCCACAATAATTTCCTTTATGAAGTTATCCTTCAAAACATTGAGATTGTAGGTTCTATCTGCACCCATAATTTTAGCAACTTGTTTATCACGGGCTGTTGTCAACACTGCACTACCACTGCCACCATGATGAAGACAGACCTTCAGCCTTTCCCACTTGTGGACCTCTCTATTCCAGACATCATCCAGTACAAGGAGATACCTCTGCCCGCTGACCAGTTTTTGAAGTCTATCCAATGGTGGTTTGTCTGTATCATCATTCTTCTTGGGAGATGCTTCAACTATACTCTTAGCCAGGGAGTTCACATCAAAACTATCAGAGACACAGACCCAAAGCAGCAACTGGAAATGCTTCTGAACTTCAGGTTCATTGTATATAAGCTGTGCTAATGTAGTCTTGCCAAGGCCCCCCATTCCAACAATGGGAACTACTGCGAGATCTGCATTGCTAGCTTGACCAAGTAGTATGTCAACGATATTATTCTTATCTTCGTGTCTGGATCTGCTGGCAATTTCTTGTGGGTCGATGATGACATAATCTGTCTGCCTCCACTCCTTGGACACTGGTGTCTGCCTCAACTGACTGGACACCAACAATGTTTGCCCCAACCCAAAGTCATGCATCTCTGCAATGAGAACATTTATATCCTCCAGGATCTTGCAAAGCTTGGTACCCATTCTGTGACCGAACGCAACACAGTTGTGAGTAGGGAAGAGTTTTATCACATCAAAGCCAAGCTCTTTGTAGTGTCCCTTCTTCCTTGCTTCACGACGGAGCGCTTCATACTTGAACTCATCAAAGACTTCATTTGCCTCATAGGCCACCGTCTTGAGCTCGTGGAGCCGGGCTTTAGCTCCTTCTCTGTGTGCTGTGGCCTGCTCCTCGGCGTCAGCGGTGACGTCCAGGATGATGGGAAGCCTGCGTTTGAGAATCCCGTGTTGCTTCTCCATTCCCTCCATCACATTGTACTGGTCGAGGAGGTAGCTGGACGCCTTGTCCATGAGCGTGGCCACCAGTGGGCGAATCGCCATGGTGACCACCAGCCCTGCCATTGGAACCCTGCCGCACAACACAGG